ATGTAATGGCAAAAAACCTAGAAATCATAACCATATTCATTGCTAAATTTTGTAGAAGACAAACAAACTTAAAATTTGTTGTCATGTCTTTTAAAATATGGTTTATACATGATTTCTTATTTGAAATCATATAATCTTCCTACATAAGTTGTAGATTTTGACCTTACGATTCTTTAGAATAGCCATTTTCGTCCGAGTGTATGTTTCATCGTACTCTTCTTATTCTTTTTCATACTCGTAATCTTCTTATTATTTATTCATTTGCTTCTCTTTGATCTCATTCTTCATCGTTCTCTCTATGTGTCTTATTAACTTCTTCATTATTGTTTAGATGATATGTAATTTACCGAGAAACCAAATACTTCTAGTGATGTGATAGAACCCCGACCTTTACATTTACATTAATCAATCCAAAGACAATTTTACAATAACAATTTCTTGAAATTTTTGGTGAAGTTGTCTCCCATGCAATTTCCTTTCGCTAAAACCTCTGTAATCGTATATCTCACCAATCTCAAGCTCAGATCTATTTCATCTAATAACCAAGAAAAAAAAACCTCCAATCATATATTCTTCCGATGTTTCAAATTTTTTATTCATAACAAAAAATAAAATAAAAAAACACAACCACTAAATTAGACCTAAAAACTATAGCCATGTTTAAGATCAATGCTATTCGAACCACCTTTTGAAAGTTTTTGCTTTAATCCCTTATTTTCCTCCATTAAAAAATATCAGTACCCTTAAAAGATATTTTTTTTTAAAATAAGGTTCAATATTCAAGCAAACACGTTTTAACAACAAAAATATGAAATTAAAGAAAACAAACAAATAATAAAAATATTAGAATATCAMCTACTAACACCAGCATTAGTTTTCGCACGCTGGTATTGATTCTGAAACGAAACACCATGTCCGGGATAATATAGAAACTCCAACGGTTGGAGTCCAACCTCTTTGGCAACTACAATTTAAAAATATTAAAAATAATGAAGAAAAACTAAAAGAGAAAAAAACTGTCAATTTACAGAATGACATAAGAGGGACATTTACATGATTCTTAATTTGCTATCCTTAAAGGATTTGCCGTTGTGTCTTGAAGAAGCATATGCTACTATGGAGACCTAATCATTCATTTCTATTACTTAATTTAATATGTATTACGATATAAACCCAATACTAAATTTGATTTAGAATAGAGAAGTATAAATCCACGATTTTAAAATGTTAAAATTATTGAAAAATCATAAGTTGTTAGACAAAATGTTCGTGTTAATTTTTAGACAGAACCGTGTTTTTAAAGTAAGAATTAATATCAATGAGAAATGGAAACTTCAAATTTCTTGAATTGCTTTTTACTCTGAAACATCTAATATCTTCGAGATACTTCGATTCTCCCTTGTCTCTTTCAGTTATCTACAGAAACCAAAATGAAAATCGAGTTAGTATGTTTAATGAACAAAACAGATTGAATCAGTACATTTAAGAGTATAAAAATAATAATAGCGATTTAGAAAAAAACATAGAAGCGTTCATATGTTTGAGGTTTTACAATGTGTCGTGATGTTTTCTTTATATAGGGAATGAATGAGAATGATTCCAAATAATTGTGAACCAATTTTCTAAATAGTCGAATATATTATAGGATATTAGTTTATTCTTTTATTATTAAYGTTTGCTTCTAAARYTRAAAATATTTGAATTTAAAAGATATTGCTGAGATACTTTTATGCACCAAGATTCCAAGATTTACTCAATCCTAAACAATTAGTTTTTAGCATTTTATTACGATTTTTTGTATACCATATTATGAAAAAAAATTATCTATATTATATATAGCATTAAAATTGTAGTTTTTTTATGGAAGCAATAGAGTTTACATTTTCTTTTAACAAAAAAAAGTAGAGTTTATATTTTTTTGTCAGCATTATAGAATC